CATTGAGGAAAACAGATTGCTATTTTAAAGAGTTTGGTCTGGGTGAGACCCCTTGATAATATTTGAGCAAAGATTTAAGGTAAGGGAGTTAGCCAGGTGAATATCTGGGGGAAGAGAATTCCTATCAGACCGAAGAGCCAGAACAAAGCCCCCGAGGTGGGGGTGTGCCTGGGTTGCTCAGGGAACCCAAGAAGGCCAGCATGGCTGGGTCAGAGGGAGAGGAGGGAGATTCGAATCACAGATACACTAGGGTTCACTGGGAGATCATAGGCCGTTGTAAGGACTTTGGCTTCTACTCTGAGGAAGTCAGAAGTGTGGGATTTTGAGCAGAGAAGTGACATGACCTATGTTTTAAAGGGGTCACTTTGGCTGCTCTGGTAAGAATAGATGGTTCAGGAGCTAGGGTGGAAGCAGAGAGACCAGTTAGGAAGTTATAGGAATCCAGGTGAGACTTGCTGCTGCCTTAGACTGGAAGGGTAGCAGCAGAAGTGGTGAAAAGTGGTAAGATTCTGACAGTATTTTGAAGGTGAAAGCAACAAGATTGGTAGGTGGGTTAGATACTGAGATTTGGGTGTTTCTGTTAAATAGATACTCTTCAGACTATTGCCGCCTTGGGTTAATTCCCAGAGTTCAGAAAAAGTTGACTGACCATTTTTGCTAGTGTTCTCATTGCTTTTGTGAAGGAGCAGATTTTCAGGGGTTACTCGGCTATTCCAGAAGTCCCACCACCTTGTTTTAAAACACCAGAAAGTTTTTCATTTTATTTTATTCAAGGCCCAATGTTGTTGGATTTACTAGCCTCTTACCTATTGTCACAAACTGAACACACCCATGTAACTCACACCTAGAATGCTCTTCCTGCCCCTTTCTAGGCGCTAACTGTCCCTCTCCCAAGATAACGTATTATTTAAATTTACATCATTTGAATTCTTTAGTAGATACTCTATGGCATGTGGCTTCTTTCACTCAGCATCGTGTTTTTGAGATTGACTTGTGTTGTTGAATGCAATTGTTCATCCATTCTCATTGCTATAATATTCCATTGTGTGACTATATCATGATTTATCCTTTCTACAGAGGTAGACATTTGGATTGCTTACAGTTTGGGGCTGTTACATTTTATTCTTGCACATATATTTTTGAGAACATTCCTGTTAGATATATAACTAGAAATGGACTACCTTGCTCATATGTTATTTAAATGTCAAGTGTTAGTGGATACAGTTTTTAAGCTGACATACTACCAGTTTATGTCCCACAGTAGTGTTTAAGAGTTGTATTTATTTAATATCCTTGCCATACTTGGTATCATTCAGCTTTTTCACTTTAATCATTCTGATAGGTGTGTAGTGGTATCCCAGTGATACTACTTTAATTTAGGCAGAACACTTTAGTCTATCTTGAATACCAGTGTTTCCCCAAGAGTGTATTGTACATATGATTGCCCCCTCTAGTTCACAAAAACATCCACGAAACATCAAGCCTTATCCAACTATTCCAGATCCTCGTTCTCTCCTATCAAACCCAGCCATTCTGCTGAGTGTGTCTTATCCCATTTGTTTCTAATCACCCTGTCTTCCAGTTTCAGAGATAATAGAGCCCGTTAGATGTGAAGTCCTCTAACTTGCTGCTCTCCGTTTCTATCCCACAAGATATAACCTCACCTATATGTATTTCCCCTCCTGTCTCAATGGAAGATGTTTTGTAAAGTAGGTCTATCCCACCTTAAAAAGCAAAACCAAATTCCCTTCTCTAACCCCTGCTAGGTATTACCATCTCTATGCTTCCTTAAAAAAAAAGTCTCAGCCCTGGCCAGTGTGCACCGAGAGGTCCCCGGTTTGATTCCCAATCAGGGCACATGTGCAGGTTTCAGGCTCGATCCCCAGTAGGGGGTGTGCAGGAGGCAGCCAATCCATGTTTCTCATTGATGTTTCTCTGTCTCTCCCTCTCCCTTCCTCTCTTTAAAATCAATAAAAACATAAAAAAAGAAATGTCATAGACATGCGGTAAAATTGCATAGAACTAAATATCCCATACAACGAGTGCATGTAAAACTGGTGAAATCTAAATAGGGTAGATGGGCCAGGCCGGGCGTGGCTCAGCTGTTGAGTGTCGACCTAGGATCCAGGCGATCGGGGTTCGATTCCGGTCAGGGCACATGCCCGTTTGAGGGCTTGATCAATGACTCATCATTGATGTTTCTATCACTCTCTCTCCCTCTCCTTTCCTCTCTCTGAAATCAATAAAGATCTATTAAAAAAAAAGAATAGGGTAGATGGGTTGTGTCAAGTTCATTTTCCTGGTTGTGATACTGTACTATAGATATGCAAAATGTTGCCATTGGGGAAACTGGGCGAAGGGCATACTGGGTCTCTCTGTATTATTTCTTACAACTATATGTGAATCATCTCAAAATAAAAAGTTAAAGCAAAAGTCTTCCTAAAAATTATTCAGAATAATAACTACCATTTTATAAATGACAAAACTGAGGCACAGAGGTTAAGTCACTTATAGGAGGTCACCCTATTAATAAGTGGCAGAACTCGCATTAGGATCCAGGCCTTCTCACTCCAAAAAGAGAGAGCTCTTAACCACTCTACCATACTTCTTGTACACCCGTCTCCATATCCTGCCTCCTACTTACACTTCATCTCACCTCTCTGTACTTCGGCTTTCATCACTCCCCTGGAAACTGCTTTTGCCTGGATTACCAAGTCTGTTGCTAAATCTAATGGATTCTTTTTGGTCCTAACCATTCTTTCTGCAGCCTTTGAAACTGTTCATGCATTCAACAAGTATTTATTGAGCATCTACAACGTGTCGGACTCTTGTTTTACAGCAGCAAACAAGACAGGCAGAACTGCTGTGAATGACAAATGCATGTGTCTGTGCTGTTACAATTAGGGGGTCAAAAATCTTCAGTCACTACAACCTGTTTGTGGATGGCCACCTATTGTCCCATGCTTTTGTTTTTCTGTGGCCAAAACATCATTTGAGTTTCACAACGTAACTCAAAACATACTATATTTAAATACCATTTTCACTTTTCTCTGGATAGAAATCAACCTTTCCAAGCAATTATCTTGAATATGAGTAAATTAAAAGAACCAAATCCTGAAGCGCACTAACTTTCTTATATAATTAATAATAATAAATTGTGAAAATTGTCTTTGACTTTCTACATACTTTTTTCTAAGAATACTTTGGATTACTTTTATGCCTCCATATTTGGAAACACCAGGAAGATCTCTGCAGAATATTAAAGTCTCATTCCATATGTCCAAATAAAAAGCTACTCCAAGGAAAATACTTGACTTCATGGAGACCTGATGCTAGCCTTCTGCATATCGCCAAAGCCGAGCACGTGAGCCAGAACTGAAGGAAAGGAGTCTTCTTGTCTCTTTCTACATGCCCGTTGTTATTTCCTGTGTTGTCATTTCTTTCCCCAATTCAGTAAAGAAGAAACAAAACATCCTCTCCTGCTTCTGCATGCCAAAACCCAGCTCGTTTTATTAGTTCTAATGGGAATGTGTTTTGCTTGATGATTAGGAGCAACCAGAACCCTCTTGCTTCCATCCAGCATCCCTGTTTTTGTCTGATGGCTGTTTGTTTACAGCAGCAGTTAGCAATTTGCATGGACACTGCCGTCAAAGTCCCAGCCCTCAGCGAAGCCCAAATGGCTCTTGGAAGAAAGATGACAGATTCAGCCCAGCAGCCTGCAAAACTTGAAAAGCGATTCCTTGTCAAACACGTGAAAAACAACTCTTCCCTCTCCATGACTTGAGGGAAAAAATGAGAAACTAGCCTACGCCAGATGGCGATTCCCTGCTAGTAAAATAGGCCTGGGCTGATTCAGCCCCATTCCTTCATGTTCCTTTTGCAAAACCCACAAAGAACACATTTGGGGCCACTTTTCAGAGTTGGCAGCAGTCTCTGCTTTTGAAGGGAATCATATGGACACAAGTAAAGCCACAATGGATGAAGGGCTCGGAATCCCCAGGGTCCAGAAACAAGATGCATGGGCCTTAAATTCCAGGTCATCAGTTAGAGCCTGGCCGGGGCCCAAGAATCATCCCAATTGTAACCAGGTTTGGTTGCTTGATTGAATTTGGTTGAAACAAAAACAAATTGGGAAAAGGTTCTATTTTCTTGTTGACTAGACTTTTTTTTTTTTAACCCTCACCCGAGGACACCCTTTTAGTAATTTTAGAGAGCGGGGAAGGGAAGGAGAGAGAGAAAATAAAAATACCGGTGTGAGAAACATCGGTCGGTCGGTTGCCTCCCGTAGGCACCCCGACCGGGTACTGTACCCGCAGCCTGGGTGTGTGCCCGGACTGGGAATCAAACCGCAGACTTCGGGTGCCCGGGACGACGTTCCAACCAGCTGAGCTGTCTGCCTGGCCTGGGCTACACCTTTTCTTTTAAAAGAAGAAAAAAAAAAAAAACAGACAAAAGAGGAAGAAGAGGAACAGAAAGAACTAAAAACTATAAAAACACCCTTTGGGATGATAAAGTGATTCTTAAATTTCAGATTATTCTAGGTGTAAAGGATCGATCTTTACGTGCAGTGCCTTTCTCTACCATTTATTTACACGTCAGGTATCACGGAGGCTCTCGTGTGTTTAGAAGTCGTTTCGACAGGATTTGAACCCATGTGTGTATGTGTTTCTTAACAACCTTGGCTTTTTAAAGACCGAATGGATGTCTCAGGACTTGGTGAAGTCCTTCCCCTGGAGATTGTGAAACACCTCATCAGCCGCTTGCTAGGGATGCTAAAGAGGGTTTAAACACTAGACTAGCAATCGCAGTGGTTAGTTTTGAAGGTTTCTTCTTCGCCTAAAATTCTGTGCATTATGGATCAGTCCCCTTCACCTGTCCTCTTTTAAAATTACCTTGATTTGGGGTATTTTCAGCCATTTAAGGTCATACCTGTTGTCTGTTTTGTCGAGCCTGTAAGAAAACATTGACCACCTTTGTTAATGTTCTTTTTATCTCTTCAGGTGGCTGAACACACACAATTAAGTTGGATCCTCACCTGCATGGTCAGACTGCCCCGATTACAACATTTACACCAGTGGAAGGTAAATGCCAGGAATCTGATTAAAAACAGATTACAGCTATTTTTCCCCTCTCTGTTTCTTTCTTTCTTTTTTTAAAAAAATATATTTCTGTTGATTTCAGAGAGAGGAAGGGAGAGGGAGAGAGAGAGATAGAAACATCAATGATGAGAGAGTCATTGATCCACTGCCTCCTGCACGCCCCACACTGGGGATCGAGCCCGCAACCCGGGCATGTGCTCTGACCAGGAATCGAACCGTGACCTCCTGGTTCATAGGTAAATACTCAACCACTGAGCCACACTGGCCATGCCCCTCTGTTTATTTCTGGGGTAGTTTCTGGGAATCCCAAGTTTACAGCCTTCCTGGTCTGCTACTCACTAGTGACTAGAAGAGCTATCTTTAAACCCTCTGCCTCAGGGTAGTAAATGGGAATTAAAAGGGTTCTCTAAGAGTCCTTCCAACTTAAAAACTGGATAAAAATGTCCAACTTATTTGATTTGATCTGTGTATGGTTGAATCAGAATGACCTCTGGATAGACTTGGTAACGACCTTGAAGCCACCACATTATACTTAACAATCACAATTTCTGGATCATTGGACTCACATCCCACCGGCACTGGAATTGACTGACAGTGAGGCGAGAATGTTTTCATTGTGTGGGGAAGAGACGGCATATTTTATTTAACATTTAAACAAGTCGAGTCCAGGCAACAGTTCAAACCCACAGAAAAATTAAGGCTGCACTTTTTCTTAGAAGTTCAACTAGAAAAGATAAATTGGATAATTCATAGTACTTTACTTCCACTTATTTTTGCAATTGGATAACCCAAGGGTGGGTAGCCCTTGACTGTGTCAAGGCTGATTCCAGTTTCGAGCTGCTTTCCAGCACGCTGGTTCAGAAGCCTGGGCTGGTTCAGAAGCCTGGGCTGGTTCAGAAGCCTCTGCTGGTTCAGAAGCCTGGGCTGGTTCAGAAGCCTGGGCTGGTTCAGAAGCCTCTGCTGGTTCAGAAGCCTCTGCGTCCGCTGCAGAGATGAGCAGACAGAGCTTTAAAGGGACAGCGCTTAAGAGGCATTGATGGTGCTGCGGAATCATTACCTGACAAGAATTACGAACAAAATTTTGTTATGCTCTCTACCATGTTTTGGTTTTAGGCAAGACTTTTCCCAGTTTATCATAGTACTCTAGTGCTCAATGGAATACTGAAATCCTCTTCAAAAGAACTGAATGTTAATTTCATGGGAAATGTTCCTACTTTAAGATAGAGTCTAAGGGCCTCCTGATAACACGTCACTCGTGAATGCCGTGATGATATTCCCACGAGCCCATAACTTCTTATTTGTGGGAAAACATGGATTTCAAGTGCCAGCCTTAACCTAGAGCATGTCACTGCTTTCCATGGTCATCTCTTCATTAACAAATGCTCGTGATGCTCCTGCAAGTCTGTCATGCTAGGTGCTAGAGGTACAGCGGTCACCACAGCAGATGGACGCGGCCCCTCTCATGAGGCTCATAGTTTGTTCAAGAAAAGGCAATTAAACAAGTAATCAGGCCCCGGCCTGTGTGGCTCAGTTGGTTGGGCATCGTCCTGTGCACCGAAAGGTTGTCCGTTCGATTCCCGGTCAGGACACATGCCCAGGCTTCAGGCTCGATCCCCAGTTGGGGGCATTAGGAGGCAGCTGATTCATGTTTCACTCTCACATCGATGTTTCTCTCTCTCCCTCTCCCTTCCTCTCTCTCTAAAAAAATAAATTTAAAACACACACACAAAACTACAAGTAATCAGAAAGTATAAAAGAGAAAGAGGGAAGGTTCTGGGATCTATGAACACTTCGCTTGGCTTTGAATGGCACAGCGAGGGGCGGGACAGTGGGGTAGAAAGGTGGGCTGAGGGCTGCTGAGGTCAGGGCTATTTGGAGGATTAATGAGATAACACAGATGTAAGGCATCTGGGGTTGATAATAGGCACTCAATAAATATTAGTGCTCTCCACATCTTTCCCTTTTCTTTGTAATTTCAAGATTCACTATTCTAATATAAAAAGACTATAAATCTAATGCAGTGACAACTTTTAAACATTGAGCTCTTTTCCAATTTGCTCATTTCCAAATTAAACCTTCATTATCTTTACCCGGTGCTCATTGTGAACTGGCCTTTATCACGGACACTGTAAGAAAGAGCTGTAGTGTGTTCAAACTTTCAAATTTCCTTTGAATGGCCTATAGCATTAGTTGCTGTAAGCCAGAAACTCTTGGAAGTAACTGAATTATGAGAGAGAAGCTTTTGCCTTTCAGACCCGACTCAAGGAGTGTGTCTGCATGTTGGTGGGAAAGGCCCAAGTTGCAAGCTTTGTTGAGCTTGGTCCTTGGGATCACGCAAGTCCATACATTCAGTTGTTTAATTCATTCAGAAATAACAGGACCTCTGAGAAGTGATTCCTATTAACTAAACAAAGGAGATTTATCTACACACCAAAATACCTATTTCTCATTTTACGTGCAATGAGGCGCCTAGGCCTTGGAAGCAATTACCAGTGAACTGCACACAGCACTTCCTGCTACTAATAGTAAGTAGCTCCATTCAGAGAACCAAATTCCCCGCAGGTGCTGCTGAACCACAGCAGGGAGCTGGTCTCACCAGGGCTCACATTCAGTGGGCACACACTACCAGTTACTAAATATTTCTGATGTCACCTCTGGTGTTTCTACCAGCTTCCCCATTGAGGAAGTATTCTGGTCTATACAACCTGTCCTGTTCATTGGAATCTCTTTACTCTCATTTAGTGCCTAAAAGATCAACACAGGTAATTAGGATGGGTAGTTAAAATTTCCCTTCATTTTATTTTTTTAAATGCCGTGATTTTCTTTCTTGTTGTTTTCTTAAATGTGATTTTAAGAGAACATTCCAGTTTTGTCAACAGCACAGTATGAGACTTTTTGGGAGGTTTCCCCAGATAAACAGTAGGCGTTTGATGTCAACTCGTGTTAATTTATAGACGTTTAATTTCATGACATTTTCTGACTTTACCTGTGAAATGGGGAATTATCTGATTTGGAACCTTGAAAACTCTTATGCGCTTACTTTAGTAAAATGGATGGGAAACAGTGGCAGAGATGGAATGGACTCGCCTCATTCCTGCCTGAGCTGGAACATGAAGACAAGCTGGCCTGAAGGTGGCTCGAGTTGCTGAAAGGAACTGAGATGTAATGTTATTGCAGGGGGCTTCAGATTACCCTTTGCTTGCCTTAAAGATTTTTAATTTAGCAGTATAATTAGGTTCATGTAGGATTTCTTTTCCTCCTCTCTTTTAACAAACACCCCCCCCCCCTTTGCAGGCAAAG